TTGCAATGGGCTTTTGAGGTGCTTTTTTCTCCTTTACAAAGTGTGAAGATTTATATTCAATGTGAGTCTTTATAGCCACTAGGAAACTCCCTACCTCTGTAGATAAAAGTTTCCTCATCTGTAAAATAGCAACAATAATAAGACCTATCTCATGGGACAATTATGAGCATGAAGTGAATTCATGCTTGTGAAGATCTTAGCATAGCAGCTGGGCGTATGTTGGTTATTACTACCTTTCCAAAATTTCACATGCCTTTTTAAGATTTTTCTCATTGGATAACAAATCTGTTTACTGAGCTAAAAAACAGCTCCTGGAACTATGCAGAAAATGTCTAACCAGCCATCTACATTAACAGTCCTTCAAATACTTGAAGACAGCTTTCATGAATTTAATAACTGCTTTCCATGCCTTCTTTTTTTTAACTTCAAGAATAGAACACAGTAGACTATAAAAATGAGCATTATCAGTCTTCCTTTGGATTTTCTATGTAAATGTTGTTTAACATTCAAATGGTGCTGATTATAATTTGAGATATTAACAGTTAGATATGCCATTGTGTCCCTCTGTTATTGTTTGTAAAGGAGGTTAAACACTATATTAACTTCTGAGTAGTGATTTACTGTTGCTTTTGTTAGAGAAAAATAAAAAAGAAGTAAAATAATATAATTTGATATTGCCTTTGAGACTTTCAGTTTGTAGAAGTCTTTATTTCCTACTCAATTTTATTTTTTTTTTAAAAAAACATACATGTAGTGTAAATACAACATCACACAAATGCAGAGTTGTTCTTTTCTTCCTGGATTAAGCTGTTGTGTAATATTGCTCTGTAACCATTAAGCAGCTGCTCTGCCTCAGAGATGCTCATATTTTCTTTGGTAGATGAAGGGAATTTACTATATGAGTGTCTTCAAATTGCTTTAAGATCTTTGGCCTTTGTATCACCATAGATTTACAGTGGTCTATGTAACATGTAAAAACCATGTTTCTGCAAGTCCCCAGGAGCCTGGAGGTTACATATGGGGTTATGTTAGCAGCAAATAACCTGACATTTTGCTGAGTCTCACCCTCTATACTGTTACAGGGCTCCTGATGCGTTGCAAGATCTTCCCCAGAGTCCTCAAGCATTGTCTCCTGTATGCTTATAAGCAGATATTATCAGCTATCTGAGTACTATCTCATCCACTATTTCTTTTCTTTTTTTTTTTTTACTCTGCCTTGTGTTGGGTAATGCCTGTCTATTGCAAAGGCTGCACACACTGCGTGCAAAGATGCATGAAGGTGGCAGCTGTCTGCTTCAGGCGCTTCTCCCAGGGTCCCCCTTGCCCGATTCCCACCCATCCCAGCTCCCATACGCGTCTTGTCAACAGGCATTACTGCTTGTCCTCAGGAACCCTCCCTCCACTGAAGTCTCACTATGCTCTACGCAGAAGTGGAGCCCAGTGGGACCTGTGGGGTTGCATTTTATCCAGTGGGTTCCATCACAGTGCCAACATATTTCCAATGCTTTTCAGTAAAACTGTTTCAGGTTTTTTTTTGGTAGATTCCAGTGTTTTATAATTTGGGGAACTAGGGGTCTTCCCCTGGTAGAATTAGCCTGGAAGTGGGTCATCCTTGCCCTGTGATTTGGCTCCTAACAGGCCCACACACCAATCCATCTTAATGGGCATGACTTAGAAGCAGATGGGCCTCTGACTCCTCACTGGAGTAGTAAGAAAATGAACTTCAGATTATATCTTGGGTAATGTTATTATGTATTACATCTGATATAATTTATATAAATATACCAAAATGTTCATTATTTATTCACTCCACTCATTCGTCAGTCTATCTTACAAGTATTTTTGTACTCCTACTCTTTAAGCACTTCTAGTCTTTTATTCATTAGCTTGCACTAAGCGCCTGAAGTTACACGTTAGTACACAACAAAGTCAATGATATAATCTGACCCTAATCATTACTCTTTCCCATTACACCCCAAAGCCTAAATAAACTCCTCGGCAAATTCCAGTGATCAGTATAATTATCCATTAATCTCAAATCATCTAGATTTACATTGTAATAAAATTACTAAGGTATTAATATGTGACCCTGTTTTAAAAAGTTGAATTTTAAAATTTTGTTCTATGAGTGTTTATTTAGTAGTTGGTGTCTATATAGGCAGTGACTATATCTCCCTAATCACCTAAAGAGATACAGAAATGAGCAAAACCCAGTCATTCTCCTAAATACAGCAGCTGATAATCCGGAAAGGAATTTAAGATCTGAAAACAGGTATCTTGGAAAATCTGAAAGTGAAAAGTGTAAAATAAGTACAAACCATGTGCTATGTGAGTACAGAGGAAAGAGATGATTTCTGGCTGGGCCAGGCGGTGGGAGAAGAAGGTGGAGCAGCAGTTTATGGAGTTGGTGGCGGCCGAGCTGGACGTTGCAGGATGAGCGCGTGGGGAGCCGAGAAAGATGAGGGCGGGCGTTTACAGAGTATGATTGGTGATGGCAAGTCATCTTGTCTGACTGGTTAAGTATATGAGCTGTAGTCATGATAAATAGGTTTTTATACTTAATATATTTACCGTATAAAGTTTACCGTATATAAAATAAAGTATAATGAACTATAAAACAACCAGAAAAGCAACAAAAAAATCTTTGTATACAGTGATAACTTACGGCAGTCCAGAAAATTAAAAACATCTTTTTCCCCAACCAGGCAAAGGGTGTCAACGTCCTTGTTGCGTATTCATGACTTTTAGTACCTTGTATAGTGCTGGTTTCATAGAAGTTTCTCAATAATCCTGAAATGAATTCAACTTGGTGAAATAGTCATTGCTCAAGAAGTAAGCGTTTCTTCAAATAGAAATGGAGACATTTTGTTATAATCCTCTCAAAAATGTATATTTTTTCAGAGTAATGACTTAATATGACACCTAAGTTTTATCACCAACTGAGATCGTATAACTCCCTTTCACTCTTCCTTTCATTCTTTTTCTGAAGAAGGTAGATGGGTGGGTATCCAACAGCGCTCAGACATCCTTGGTTCTTCAGTTCACAGCAGTGAGGCACATATGCTAATTAAATGGTTTTCACCCTATGTGTGGTTAAAAAGCAATTTTGTTCTGATAAATTTTCTAGATAAAAATTTACAAATAATTTTGAGCTGTCTGGAGTCCAGTGTGCATAATTCAGTGTATGGCTGATTGCTGGCTTCATTGGCTGATCTTGATTTATTGGTAACATTTAACCAGTGCTGACCATGAGTTTTATATTTTTTTTTTTTTTTTTTTTTTTTGAGACAGAGCCTCACTGTGTTGCCCGGGCTAGAGTGCCGTGGCGTCATCCTAACTCACAGCAACCTCAAACTCCTGGGCTCAAGCAATCCTCCTGCCTCAGCCTCCCGAGTAGCTGGGACTACAGGCATGCGCCACCATGCCCAGCTAATGTTTTTCTATATATTTTTAGTTGTCCAATTAATTTCTTTGTATTTTTAGTAGAGACGGGGTCTCGCTCTTGCTCAGGCTGGTTTCGAACTCCTGGGCTCAAACAATCCGCCCGCCTCGGCCTCCCAGAGAGCTAGGATTACAGGCGTGAGCCACCGCGCCTGGCCGAGTTTTATATTTTTATCTCATGTAGTACTCATAGCAACTCTATGAGGTAGGTGATTTTATTATCTCTAACTTATAGACAAAGAGTCTGAGGCACCAAAGAGGTCTGATACCATGGCCAAGATTCCAGACTGGTAAACTGTGGCTGGGATTCCAGTTACAGCTCTTTGACTTCAGAGCCCCATGTTGCTAAACCATCCATGCCTCACATCTGTGTGCTGAATCTAATCCCTTGGTCAGCCCTAAAGCCTTATGTAAAACTGGTCAAATTGCCAGTTCCTAAAATCTAGAGTTGTTTGTTTGTTTGTTTGTTGTTTTCCTGGAAGTATTTCAGTTCTCAGGATTTTCAGACTCACTCTGTCCCTGGGGCAGCAAAGAGTAAGCCGTATCCCTTTTTCCTAAGGCATTCTCTCTCTCCTCCCTCCTTATACCCCCTTGACATAAATAAGAATGAGGGAGGGTAGAGTGACTGCTGTTCATGGGAGTCCTCATCTCTACTTTTGGACATAGCTAGTGACTCCAAGTAGGTCTGAACCCAGGCACCGTGGCCACTGTGGGCCCTGTGCCTAGATGTCACATAAGGGTAATGCGGCATTCCTGGAGGCCTAGATTCACCACCATTTGCCAGAAATTCATATAACCAAAACATTTTTACCCCTGTAATATTCTGGAATAATAATAATAATATTTTTAAAAATATCTGAACTTCATTGGGATATTGGGTAATCACTGTGTGATTCTCCCCATGTGCATGGTAAATAAACCTTTCTCTTATTTAAAACAAAAGTGCACAGAAATAGGTCAATGCAAAATACTGTATTGACTGTATATGCAAGTTCTGCTTGTGTTTTATTAGTGACCCTGGCACGAGGGTGGGAGTGCTGGTAGCAGCAGCTCACTTTTCTTTAATCAGGGAAGGATTTAGGAAAGAAGGGCGGTTTCAAGAGATCTTTGAAGTATTTCCAGCAAGGTGCTAATTGTGGTTGTGGTTTTCCTTTTTCTTTTTTTCTTTTATTATTATTTTTTTTAAATGAGTAGACTTTAGTCTACCAGGTGCTACTGAGTCGAATGCATTCAGTGAGAGCCCACAGACCTTCATTCTCTATGTGTGGGCCATGGCAAATAGAACCACTCCAATTGCCCTGGACATTCAGAAAATTGAGAAAAAATTTTTGCTAGCAGATTATTTAGCATCTAAACTTTTAACTTTTTGTTTAAACAGACTCAATTTGCATTCACAAGAGTTTTGTTTTGTTTTGTTTTGTTTTTTACTTGTCCTTGTAAGCATACTTGCTTTTTGTTCTAACCTTTGGTTTTAAAACACTTAAACAAATTCTAGTGTTTAATCATTTATTTTGCTTCCTGCTTATGCTGATCTTTTTCCTCTTCATGTTTATTTTCAGGTTACCTCGAGGATAGTTTTGTAAAATCTGGAGTCTTCAATGTATCAGAACTTGTAAGGGTATCCAGAAGTAAGTAAATTGTTTTCTTATTATTTAAGTATACGGTATGTTTTAAGACTTTTGTTTTAATTTTTAACCTTAAATACAGCATGAAGAGTGACCACATATTAGGAAAACTTGAGTTTTAAACTCTTAAATCTTTTGATGAAATCATAAGTGAATATATTTTGCCTGATTTTCTAAAATATTTGCATTCAAATAATCAAAATGTTCTATGGTGCAAAAATTTGGGGGTTGGTCTGATTGCCATATTATTAGTATTCATTTAATCCACTGTTGGGTCTATGACCATAGATGGTCATTTATATCAGAGGAAGCGTGATTAATTAAATGTACTCCATGTTGTTATGATAACCCACATAAGTTTCCTGTAGATAAGTGCTTTTTCATTTTGCTAACATTTTGATGGGGGGTTGGAGATGTACAGGATATACACAGTACCGTGCAGAGCGTAGAGGGATGCAGAAATTAACTTTGCAGATTGTAGTTGGATATAGATAGAAAGCATTGTTAGCCAAAACAATGTCCAATTGTTTTAACTGGCCACTTCACCTGAGACACTATTCTTGGCAGGCTGGATCAGATTTTTCTAGGGTAAGCTCACCTGGCTGGCTACCTAAGAAAGGGGAAATTTTCCTCAGTTAACTCTTTTACTTATTACCAGCATGTGCAGATCTTAATGTACCGATTTATGTTAAAGGATGTGACTCCTTTCTTCTTGCTCCATTCACTGATTTAGCTTGTTTATTATGTCACTTTGGAGGGTATGTTTTCACCTGACATTTTGATGGAAAGGATGCTATTCAGATGATGTTGGAAGGATCATGGAAGGATGGGAGGATGATGGAAGGATGCTATTCTGATCCTTGTTTAAATTGTGTTTCTCATTTGGGTCAAATTCAGAGGTCAAGAACAAGAGTCACGATGATCCAGAAAGAACGAAGAGTCAGTTACTGAGGGTAAAATAGGCAGTGCTTTTGAGTCCTGTTCAGTACAGGAATCTTCAAGCTAGTAGGTGACTGTAGTTGAGAAACTGTAGTTTCTCAAATAGCTCAGATTTCTAAAGTGGCCAGTACAAATAGAATGCATATCAGGAAGTGATACACATGAACATTTTAGACCTTAAGTAACTTATCCTTTCTGGAATAATTCTGGAGTAGATAAATATATGCCCAAAAGACTTCTGTCATGGGTCTTTTTACTTGGGGGCAGCATAGGAGATGAAAATCTATTAACCTGTATTCCACTAGCTCTGGTGTATGTATATGCTTGGCAAGAGCATTCTAATGGTCTACTCAATTGTCCAAGGCAATGAGCTTTATGTATTTTGCCATGTCAATATGTGATATCCAGAGACTTCCAACATTTGAAAGTTTTACATTGTTATTTTTAATTTGGAAAAGAATATATGCCTGACTTACTACTGCTTTCTAGCACCATGTAAGGCAGGGGGTATTTGAAGGTGTTGGTGTATGTGTGTGTTTTCCCCATACTGTTCTTTACTGGAAAGGCTATGCTGCAACAGTTATGAGGCTTATGAAATTATTTGCTTAAATTTGTACCTTTCTAAGTTCCATGATGTATTTTCATCCTTCTTATGAGAAGGGCAGTAGTGTCATCTGTCAGAAAATATTTATTTAGTACCTCATTATAGGTAATATTATGCTAAGTGCTGTCAAAGGAGACCACATTAGAACCTTCAAAAGTCCAGAGTGAATTTTGAAAAATCTGAATTTCAAACATAGAAAGATAGATTAAAAATACCTTTCTGTAACAGTTCAGAAGCAAGGTAAATTGAACATACTTCATTCATTCATTCTTAATTCATTCTGTCATCTCCTAGAGGTTTTTAGGCTATTTGTTATAACAAACATTACTGATTTGTAATTAGCACATTAATTATCTATATTCATTCATTAGTTAATTTATTCAGCAAACATTTATTTTCTCCTCCATATGTAAATAGGTGTCTGTGAAATACTTGAGAAGTTATTCTTCTAAGTGTTTTAATACATCCACATTATAATCTTGTTTACAAAATTGAACATCATTGTTTATGAATAAGGGTTTACTAAGTAAACATAAACTTCAGCACAACACTTATGCTGTGTATCACAAATTCTGACTTCTTGAGGGTTCACAGTATGCTTATGGTTTCTATCCTCTAGGGCTTTACGATCATATGACCCGCTAATGTCTGTGTTGACTTTAGCTAATGAAGCTATTCAGCTTTAGGATAGTGATCTCTCTGTTGAATGATATTATCTCCATCTTAAAAGTTGATTTAGGATCAGCTTTTGGAGTGAGGAGAACAATAAGAGAGATTAAGGGTTGGCCTCTAACCCTTAGAATCGGAGGTTGTTTGGTGCTTCGTTTCTAAGAGGATATTGGCAACCTCTTAAACATGATTTGCAGCTTTCAGCCTTCTTGCAGCTCTCTGGGAGAGATGCTAACGCTGATCTTTGCATCTGATGCAAGTTCTTCCAGAGGCTCTTAAGCCGCAATATCTGCCTGAGACTTGCTCCTCTCACACACTCTGTCATTAAATAAATTCTGTGTGGGCTGTTTTAGTATTTTGGCCGTGTTTATTATTAATCTACTTTTCCTTCTGAAATCTCCCATTTAGTGTCAGAATGCACACTAAATTTTTAGTGTTCATGCACATATCTGTACACAAATTGTTTTTATTACAGTCATCTTAAAATCTATACATAATGTTTGTACATGTTTATGAGGTACATGTGATATCTTGATACATGCATACAATATGTAATGATCAAATCAGGGTGTTTAGGATATCCATCACCTCAAACATGTATCATTTCTTTGTGTTGGGAACATTTCAAATCTCATCTAGCTATTTTGAAATATACGATACATTGTTGTTAACTATAGTCACCCTACTGTGCTATCAAACAGGAGAACTGATTTCTTCTATCTAACTGTATGGTCGTACCCATTAACCAGTGTCTCTCCATCCCCCTCCCCCTCCCACATCCCAGCCTCTGGTAACTATCATTCTACTCTCTACCTCAGAGATCAAATTTTTTAGCTCCTTCCTATGAGTGAGAACGTGTGATATTGTCTTTTTTAATTGCTATTTTGATACTCCGGAATAATCCTTCTGGAACAAAATTTATAAAAACTCCCAAATTTCTGAAGTTTTCTTTGTTATCATTTTACAGTAAATTACACCTGTTTTGCTTTTTACAGCCAAGCGAACTGTGTTGACTATCTTTGCCTAAGCATTGCATGAGGTAAATAAATTGCAAACAGTTTATACAAGGTACAACCTGCAAGTTTCCTGTTAGTAACTCAAATCTTTGAATTGTATCCGTGACTGTTGTAGGAAGCTAGACAGATTGCTTACTTCCAGTGAGTCCCTCAAATGTCTCTTAGCACGTACCCTGCTTCCAATGTCACACAGAACATGGTTCTAATAATAAATTTTAAAGCATGTGGTTACTATGGGATTTCTTACCTCACATTTTTTTAACCTCTGGTGTACCTCAAGCCACAACAAACATGGCTACATTTTAGCTGTCCAAATAATTCAAGCCATCAGCATAGTTACACATTGCATACAAATATTTTCTGTGTAAAAGGAGGTTAAAGTGTATTGTATAAAACAAACACTGTAACAGAAGGCAGATGTTCCAGAAGTTTGGAGCTGAGACTACTCATGTATATATTGATTTATTTAATTTTTAGTAGAAAAAGAGAGATGTTCAGTGTATATTCCTTGATCATTTCTCTGCAATGAACCATGTACCTAATCATATTTTGTTGAAAATATTTTAAGTTAATCTTGGTCTGCCTAATATTAAAATATAATTCAGCTGATAGTGAACACATTTAGAATATTTATTTTAAAATTCTGGGTAAGAAAAATTACACAAAAATCTGTGATTCGTTGGAGTTTTATATTCAACTTGAGGCAGTTAGGAGAGAGGAAAAGATTAAGTAGACTTCTGTGTGTTCTTAGAGTGAATCTGAGGCACTCCAGAATTTTGTTGCCAAGCCCAGGGCACACTTCCTTTCATTTGAACTTTCCAGGGCCTGATTAAGACAGGTAAAGAAATGTAAATCAGGGGGTGGGGTGGGGAGGGAAAGAAATGTAAACCATTCTTAAGGACTGTTCTCTGACACCAACCTGCATGGTCTCCACTTTGCATATTATCTCTGCCCATGACTTTGCTCCTGCAGTAACCCCTGTCTGGAATGACCTCCCTTCATACCATACTCACTCTTCAAAGTCCAGTGCTGGCTATGGCTTCTCCACAGACTTCTTGAACCATTCGAGCCGATATTGGATTCTTTTTCCCTTGAAATGCCACAGCACTTATTGATCATGTCATTCATTTGAGCAGTTTCATTGTAATCTACAGCGTCCTGGTATTTGTATGTTTTGCGTGAGTGTTTTATTTACCCAGCCTGTTGACAATATGTTTATTAAAGGCGGAGCTATCTGAGAATATTTTGTATCCATTGCAATCAACACCTGCTAGTAATGGGCACAATTAATAACTCATTGAATGAACAAACTTTCAGCAAACAGGTTCATTTTTATCTGTTTATCTGCTTTTAATACATTTTGAACTATTTGTCTTTGCTAACCACTCCACTCTACCAGGGAAGAAATTTGAGGGAGAAAGCAAAGAAGGAAGGGAACTCACATTTGTTGAGCACCTGTTAATGTGCTAGGCATGATACTGGGCTTTTATCACTCCTTACTTTACTTTATCCTCAAAGTTATCATATGTGGTAGGTTATTATTATTCCCATTTTACAGTTTAGGAAACTGAGACACATAGCTCACAAGTACAGAAGAAGTTCAAACTAAAAAGCTGTTTGTCTCCCAAGAATCTGCTCATTCTAACATAATATGCTGCTACCTCAAAGGTCTTTTCAAAATGTCTAAAATTAAATTTTAAAAACTTGAACAGGTGTAATCCATTGTATTAGGTTATCAAGTATGAAATCTCCAATTTCTTTAAGTACTAAGTTTGACAGTTGAGATCTCTGACATTTCACTTTGACGTTTCTTGTTTTATTTTTATTGTGAAGGTACAGCTTTAGTCTTGAAAACACACATTTTGGCTTGTGGTTATCTTTCACATTTTTTTAGAGCAATTTTTGTGAAACCATGGATAAGTCAAAAATTCATGTTATTTTTGAATATGAGTTCCATCATGGAACCAATGTAGTGCAGACAGCTTGAAATATCAATGAAGTGTTTGGAAAGGATGTGCCTAATGAACAAGCAGTATGTCGATAATTTGAGAAGTTCCATGCTGGTGATTTTAATCTTGAAAGTGAGCCATGTGGATGACCTGACACCAAGATGGATAATGATGAGCGGAAAGCTGTAGTGGAAGTGAATCCATCTGAACTTAAGTGTGAATTAGCATCAAGGTTTGACATTACTATTCCAATAATATTGGACCGTTTGAAACAAATCAGCAAGGTAAAGAAGCTGGGTAAGATGGGTTCCGCATGAATTAAACAAGTGTCAGCAGAGAAATTGTCTCAAAGCTGGCCTTTCTTGTTGTCACCACACAAAGGTGAACCATTTCTACACCATTTTGTTATGTATGATGAAAAATGGATTCTTTTTGACAATCGCAAGCATGTGGCACAATGGTTGGGAAAAGACGAAGTGCCAAAACACAGTCCAAAACTGAATATTCATCAAAAAAAGCTAATGGTGTCTGGTGGTCCAGCGCTGGTATTATCCACTACAGCTTCATGAAACCTGGTCAATCAATTACAGTGGATGTCTCCTGCAACCAACCGGATGAAATGATGAGAATGCTTGTGATTAAGCGGCCAAGATTGGTCCACAGAGACAGGCCAATCCTCTTGCAAGACAACACTTGACCACATGTCACACAACCAACGCCGCTCAAACTACAGAGGCTTGGACTTGGAAACTCTGTCATCCACCATTTTCACCAGACTTTGCACCAACTGACTACCAGTTCTTCCAGGCTTTGGACCACTTCTTGCAAGGAAAAATATTCAATTCTCAACACCTGTGGAAAACATCTTTTGCAATTTTATCGCCACTCGCTCTGCAGGCTTCTTTGCTGCTGGCATAACAAGCTACCTTTAAGATGGAAAAACTGTGTGGATAGTTTAGGCACATACTTTGATTAATTGTACTGCTTCTGGTTTGAGATATAATAAACTATACTTTTGATTCAAAATCAGACCTTTCATGTTTAATGACCTAATACTAAAAAAGCTTATATGCAAAAATGTTTGTTTATAATGTATCAGCAAATTCAAAGAGATTTCTTGATTTACAAATATTACCTTAAAATATAAAATTCCATGAGTATATTTTAAATGATTTATAACATGTGGTATAAAATTAAAGCAAAACATAACTATTGAATAAAGCCACATTTGCCATTCATATATGAAACCTGAATGTGTATTTTGAAGATGAACTTGGCTTTTGTTTCATATTTGTAGATTTCACCTATATATCTGTCCTAATGCAATAATTATTTATATCAAATAATTATAAATGTCATGATTTCTAATCCATTCTAATATTAATGTTATTATTATTACAGAATAATCATCTTTGGTATTTACTTGTGAACTGTTCTATATTTATTTATCAATGATTTGGTGTTTGAGAGCCTACATAGTGGGAAACAACTTGTTTGGTGCTGAGTGATAGGAATCATATGTTCCTCCAAGACATCTATAGACGAGTGGCCTGACAGATGTAATGACAACTAATACAAAGGAGTGAGTGAAGAAGGTCAGAGAGTAGGATTGTGGGAATTGGTAACCAACGATTATAGTCTGAGTGTCTCACATTTCCAAACTTGAATTCAAGTGGCTAAGGTGAGCAAGTTTTTAAGTCCTACCCCAGTGTATGGTAGATATTAAAAGTCTTAAGGTAATGAGAATTCTCCCTGCCCAGAGACGTGGAAATTATTAGATTATTACATTTGACTAAAAATGACAAGTGTGAATGTCATTCCCAATGTTTCTTTTTGTTTGATTCCTCAGCGCCCATAACCCAGGGAACTGGAGTCAATTTCCCAATTGGAGAAATCCCGAGCCAACCATACTATCATGACATGAACTCGGGGGTCAATCTTCAGAGGTCGCTGTCTTCTCCACCAAGCAGGTAACTAAAACAAGAGCTGTTGATGTTCTCAACGAGTATGTAGGGTAGATGAGTAGATGATATGCAGATAGATAGGTAGGTAGGTAATGAGAGATGGGAAATAAAGACTTTTAGTACATAGACTTTTAATCTTTCCTTGTTAAATTTACTTGGCTATTTGCAAATTAAATGTAACTCTCATTCAAAGCACTTTTACAAATCTTTTTCAGGGGAACGAGGGACCTACGAAGATATATTAAGATGATTCTAATTTTTTTGGTGATTTTAAAAATGATATTTTCACGGTGGTGATCCCTGATTTATAACTGATCCCTGGTAACTTTTTCTCTAATACCACATCCACATTTGGGATAATGAAAGATGAAGCCTTACCTAGCCTTAAAATCAAAGGCCTTCTTCTGGGCCACAGTTTGCCAAATTCTTCACTTAGTTGATGTTCTTTGACTAACTTAGTTAACTCAGTTACCATTAAAAATATTACCTCCTCTGAGATTTGGTTTAACCCTTCGCTGGGGAGGAGCTAGAGTGAGGTCTCTTTGATTTTTAGTTCTTTATGGACATACTCATTTTCTCTCTTAATCTTCAAATTTTAATTTTCAGTTGAGATGAATAAAAATTACAGATGTATTGTTTTTGTTTGTTTTTTTTGAGTTAGATCTTCAGCATATGAAGGCACATCTCATCTCTTAATTTCTAGAGCATTAAGTATACCCATGATGAAATATAACAGCATACATGAATTCCAGAACAAAATACACATTTTACAGTATTAACTTTTTAAAAACAAGAGAATATCTAGATAATTATTTTTCTTATTATTATTCCTCAATAATGAGAGTTAATTGCATTTGGATTAATTATGGACTATGCATGTTTGTAAGTTTACAAGCTGCGATCAATTTTATATCATTTTTAGTCAAACTGTATCTCCGCATAGTTAAATTATATAGCAAGATAATTGGGTTTATTATCATTAAAATTGTCTCTAACATGTTGAGGTCTTAAAAATGCCTTACTTTTTCTAAATTGAAAATGTGGATAGTAATTTTTTATTTTGTCTGTTGGCGCAATATGTTGTCAACACAGATCTTTCCTCATGGCCACTGAGTATCAGATACTATGTCTTTCAGAATAAACAAGGTTTAAAAAACATTTCTCTATTACTTCCTTATGAAAATAATTTCTTTCCTATTTAGAGTTTTTCCTACATATTTACTGCTGACTTATAGATGGGAGAATTAGATTAAAAAGAGAACTAAAAAATATAAGTTCTAACTTTGGATACCTTAAGGAAGAAACTAAAAAAATATTATTCATTCTTTGTATGGTTTAGCATGGATAGAAATTGCCATCTTCAGTATCATGTTAATACTCTGGGAGTTGTGAGTCAAATATTAATCACAGTATATCTACAAATAATCACACATCTACATGCTTCAGGGGCTTGGAAATGCAGTGCAGTAGAAAGAGCACAGTCTTGGAAGTCAGTCCTTACTTTGTGTCTGACTGCTTCCGTTAACTTGTCCTGGGCAATCTACTGAATTTCTCCAAATTTGTCTCCCCATTTATAAAAACAAGGCGGGGATTGGTTCAGGTGTATGATTTTTGAGGTCCATTCTAACTCTGAAATCCTATGACATTATGTTTAGTATTGCTGCAAAAAGTTAATTCAGAAGACCTTATTTTTAGTTTTTACCAGCATAGATGCAAATAAGAAAAATTTTTAAAAGAAAAAAATGTCCATTTCATAGTCGTAATTAACTGCTTAATAGGGTATTTGTGAGGGTATATAAAAGAAACATATCAAGCAATATGGCCCTAAAATAGCTTCTTAATCTTTGCTCTAGATATTCACCTTTCTTAATAGTTGAGATGAGCCCATGTTTCCTTATTAAAATATATCATTTTAAAAGTATACCATTTGTTTGAACCTGGTATGGCCTTTTAACGTACGAATAAAGGATAACCTAATTTTTAAGAAAAAGATAAAGAAGAATATATGAAATAGTTTATAATTAGTAAAGTACTAGAAATTTTATTATTAATTATGGAGTTACTACTTATAATTACTATTTAATAAGTATCTTCTAAATGCCAGCCACTTAACTGAGAGCTTTGCATTTAATAACGCATTTGACCCTCTCAAACGTCTCCCTTTTGAACTAGATTTTATTGTTTCCATTTTACAGATGATTAAACTGAGTTTACAAAGGTTAAGGAGCTTACTATTAAGAATTAATAAGTGGCCTAGACAAGATTTAATACAAGGTCTGTCTGAGTCCAAAAGCTCTTATTCTACTCTACTCCATTACCTTATCTTTGAATTACTATCAAAGGATTGTATTGTCAATAACAAGGGCTATACATAGGAACATTATTAATATTGATAATAATTATAATAAGAGTTAGGTAAAATTTTAATAATACAATTTTAACATTAGTAGACAAGCCACATGAAGAGTTCACTTTTCATTATTTCTTTGGAAATGCATTTGAAGAGATAAATATAATGAACACCATATTTGTTAGGCAGGTATAGGTATAAGATGGTATAGTAAATGGTATATACAACTAGAATGTTTGCTATTCCTATTGGTGTCTTGAATACTCACCATTATTTCAAAATGATTCTGAGATACTGTTGTGTTTATGAAATTTCCACAGTAAGAATCTTCTCAAATCTGCTACTTTTAAATGCTACACATCTTCCCAGAAATCCTATTAATATAACTATTGTCATGTTTTAACAGCAAAAGACCCAAAACTATATCCATAGATGAAAATATGGAACCAAGTCCTACAGGAGACTTTTACCCCTCTCCAAATTCACCAGCTGCTGGAAGTCGAACATGGCATGAAAGAGATCAAGGTGAGAAATAAAAAGATGCCTCCAGAGACATCAGGGTAAAATGTTGGTTCATCTAATCAGTTTCATTTAGTCAAAATTTCATAATTGAACCACTATGGATTATATGATTATATTTTCTTCCTGAAATGACTTCAGTAAAATTATGTTTAATATACTAGTCAAATGCTGTCAAAGTTAATTTACAAAAAACCCCATTCTTTGTATGTTTTATTGGCCTTTTTTTTCAGACAAAATGATCTTTTCAAACCCACAGTTATGTATGTGACTGATTATCGTCTGTCTCCATTAGTTGGGTAGACTACAGCAGAACCACAAGTTCTGATTCAATTAGATCAGTAGGCTCTTCTCCATGGGTCATTTCAGGGAGGAGCCAATCTAAGCAGTGCACATGTGCCAGGTACCGAAAGTTCTCATTTAAAGGACACCACAATTCCTTTTGGAAGTAGGTAGTGCATAAACAATAATGGAAAGTATAATGTAAGATAAGTTGTGTCTAAGCCAATCTAGTTATGCTTTCTAGATAACACTATGACCCAGTTCTAAAGAAGCTTTAAAGAGAAATATAACTTTAAGAAATAGGTCTTATTTGGCTTTCTGGGTTCAGATTTAGTTTTTCTTAAAGTCTATTGGATTTAATATATTTCGTCTTACATGCTGAGGCCTTTCCCCCAAATCAGAAGGAGATTATTAAGCGTGGAAATAGAAAAATTAGCTAACTACAATTTTTGTTGCTATGTGTGCATGTGTACAAATACAATTTTATATCAGCAGCATAAAAGAGTCTTTGAAAATTGTCTTTCAAATAGAATTTTGCATTTTAAAAAAAATTTTAAAAAAGGAGCTCTCTATTAATGACTTTTAGCCCAAGACTTGAGAGTATCTATATGGGGATTTGGGAACTGTATGTTGTTTTATGGAAGGATTTGAAACTCAGCTGGAGAGGTCTGGCTCTGAGATACCCCCACCCCCAAATCCATTCTTCAGGCAGTAGACAAAAATCATTTTTATAAAACTTAAATAATGTCATCTCACTCCCCTACTTCAGATCCTTCATTATCTTCCCACTGCTGTCAGGAGAAAATCAGAATTCCCTTATATGACTAAAGGGCCTGGCCTCTGACTGCCATTATAGCCTTGCCAGGTGACACCCTGCTGCTCCTTGCTTGCACTCTAGCCCATTGCTTTGTTTAGATTTGGGAATGAAACATGTAGGACCTTCCTAGAAACCGTGCCCTTTGGAATGAATGCTCTTCTAACTCTTTATCTGGTGAGTTCTTTCTCATCTTCCAAAGCCCAGCTTAAATTAGGGAATTTCAATCTAAATTAGGGCTTCTTGTTTTTATTTCTTCATTGTATGCATAATATGTAATTACGTATCTATTTATGGAATCAATTGTCTATCTGTCTACACTATGAGAGCAGGGACCTTATCTCTTTTGGTTACTACTGTAACCCGCACCTAGCATGATGCTGGGTGCATAGTAGGAGTACAGTAAATATTTATGGGATAAATGAGCCACTGATAGGCAGAACACCAGTCTCATTAGTGAAGGCAAGATATAATAGAGACTTTTACCAGAATTGCAGAAGTGAGTAGAAAAACAAAACCCTCAACCTTTTATATTTTATTGCTTGTTTTACTGACATTGTCAGTTTATTCTAAACAAAGCCATATTTTCTCTGTCAGAAAATTATTCTGGAAAAGATTCTAATGGTAATAACATTGTGAATGTGTGGGAATGGAGGCTTTATTCAGAAGTGTAGGTGTTCTTTATTGTAGAGAGTGTCACTTTGTAAGAATTGATTCCTCTTTCAGCCTATTGAATAAAGCCAATTTCAAATCATATTATAAAACATTTTTGAAAAGTAGAAGGGAAACTGTCATTCTTTCTCTTTGTAAAATCATTATATTGTCTTGGTGATTTTCTTTTGTCAAAATGACTAGAATTAGTGGAGAAATCTGTAAAGGCATATTCTATTAAGAGTAAGGAAGAATATTCCATTCTCAAGTGTGCTTAAGAAAAACTCTGTCACTTTAATTCTGAAGACCCAGAAGACTTTGTAATGTGCACAATAAGCCATTGTGGGAAGAAGACTGAAACTACAATGAAAAAAATGAGGGCAGTACAGTACTATCTTTACAAATTTGCTAAGCCCAATGCAGTCCTTTTGTTCTTAGAAAATTGCTTTCTTAAAATTTGCAAAATAAAATGCCCCCCCAGTTGTTCTTGTCCATCTTCAAATGTTCTTTAGACACACCTGCCTGTGTGACAGGAGTTGTCTATGCACATATTGAGTGCCACTCCAATAACTGTAATGGCTTTAACGTGTCTTGTACATATTTTTCCCACAAAGCTCTGCACTAATTGGTACTAAATAACTACTTATCGGTTGATTAAAATATACTTGTGTTTAAAATTCGCAGAAATGCTTACAATTTACTATTAATTATTTCCCAGATATTCCTTATTCTGTTAGTGGTAACTTTGTATTAAAATCTATTCTTGCCTTGGCCCTTAGCAAAATTGATTTTTTAAAATATGACAAAGATAACAAAATTATGGACATGTAGCATTCTCCTTTCCCTTACAATCTGAAACACCAACCTAAACCATTGAGATTTATTCCAAGTAGGCAAAAATAAAGGATATAATATGATCAATTTATTATGTCTATTTTATTCTAAAAAGAAATGAAGCAAAGCATTAATTCAAAATCTAGATTCACGTTCATGCAATTTTTAATAATTTAATGAAAAAGTGTTTTTATTTTAGCATTTTGAATCGTAATTAATTATATCCTTGTATCATTTCTTTTCAAAACAAAAAGTTACAATTTCCTGATCATAAGAGAATTATAATTTATAATTTTGTAAATATAAACATGAATATTTTAAAAGTAAACATTATTTGATCGTGTTAAACATTTGGTAGGGAGCTGTATTATTTGCTTACATTTCTTCTGATGAATAGTGATAGAAATTAAAGTTGTCAACATCTACATTATGTAATATTTATATTTTTACTTTATGTTCTTTTATACATAGAGGAGAGGAAAATGAAAATAATACTGAGGTATAGAACAATTGTTACATTCCTTCTCTAAGTTCCAGAATATTTCTACTTGCTTAGTATCTTCTATGAAGATAATTTTAAACTTCTGACTGCCTCTATCTCTATTAAAAACTTTCTTTTTTGTATACTTTTTCCTATTATTTAAGATTTTAATTATTAAATGAAGAATACCATGTTAGTTTATCAATGTGCAGGTTGAAAATTTCTTTTATTCTGTAACTTACTCCACAAAACATTCCATTGAGATCTTGTCTTTCTTGAGTTTTTTCTGAGTGAATATACTCAATTCTTAGACGATATACTTTTCTTGAAATTATTAGAGCAATCCTCTGTAACGTCTGATATAAGAAGAAAAATAAGAGGCAGGTCATAGTTTTCCCTATAATTCAAGTTACTTTTATGGGACTAAATTTAGTTGTATTCCAGTGCTCAGTAATTTAACAGATAAATAAATTGTCTGCCTTTATAAGGTCTTTATAAGGTCACTTTGCCACTGCCATTCTAATGGTCATTGATTTATGTAAGTTTGAATGTAAAAATCCTAAAACATTATTTAATAGATATTTATTGAGAAAAATATAATATGGTAAATATATTTATAATATACAGCTGGGGATTTCTAAATGGAAAATTTAACAGTTTCTCAATGTGATGAATAGTTAAACAACTTGTACTCTTAGATAAAATGTAAATTCAAAACGACTTTTTATGCAGTTACATTTTATTAATTTCTGCACATTTAGGATTTCAGATAATTTAACTCAATTAACACTTATCAAATGCCTAATATATGTGAAGAATTTTTGTAGGCATGGTGCCCGTAAGTATGAATAAATCAAGTTTCTAACCCTTGACCTGCTGAACGAAAAAATAATTTTTTACTATTTATGAAAAAAAGGAACTTCACAGAAAATAAATAATGTAAACCAGATTATCAGGGAACTGTTTCCATGCTTTAGAACTAGCTTACTTTTAAGCACTATGAAGGTAACTCTTTACACAAAATCAATACATTGTCACGTTAGCAAAACATAACACTGCTTGGTATATTAGTATATAATTACAAGTTTAAGAGTAGTTTAAAAAATTAAACTGGACTCTCAAGCTAGATTTAGGCATTGTGTTCTGGTTGTTGTAGGTACTAGAAAATAAAAATGCTAATCTTTTAATAAAAACTCACAGTTCTGTTATATAAATGAGTCTCCTGAGCAAGTCTTTCTGAATCTTTAATATCTTTCCAAGTCCTGAAGACTTATTTGTGATAATTGTGCAAATATTCTCATTATTAAGATAGTCTTAAACATTGTACTAAATTTCACTTTGCCCTTTATAGAGTTCTTATATAGTATTAAATATCAAATGACTCAAGCCAGAAGGCCCAAAGGAACACTGAGGGGCTATGGAGGAAAAGTGCCAGTTTGGTGTCATGTGCTCAATCAAGAGATAAATCATGGTAAATAAGAGTGTGGTACCTCCTGACAGAACCAGAATCAGAGGCCAGCATTCCTTAACATGAGTTTAGGAATGTGAATAGATATGCTAGGTATAAGAGTGGTTTGCTAAGTTTGGAAAATTCCATTGTAACAAAAATTTAAACATTTTTTCATTCATAAATAAATTTGCAGAATATTTAATATACTACTGTGTGCTGTGAATATCCAGGAGTGGCCCTCAACTGAACGTGTTTATTACGTTTGTGACTTCAGAACCTTTTATTTCCATTGAAGAATCCATAGGGAGCATTAATCCTAGGTTCAAACTTTGGAAAACAGTGCTCTAGCCCAAACCACAGTCTGACAAATGATATAATCTGAAGATTTCTCTAGAGCTGTGGGAGCTGAGTGAATATGCCGCTTTCATAAATGCTTGAATAACTGCTGTCTGGGAGTCATTAACTTTAAATGAAGTCCTAGCAAATGGCAGGGC